ATCCTCATCTTTCTCCCACAGAGCAGCTGGTAGTTTCGAACTGTTGACCTTGCAGTTCGCAGCCCGATTCGTAACCACTACGCTATCAGAGCTCCTAGTCAATTGTGGTAGTCTCAAGCTATTGTTAAGATTTAGTTTCTTTGTCTTTAGTTTTCACAAGTGTGACTATGACGTGTCTTGCCATGGATTTCTTTGAATTTATCCTGTTTAGAGTTCATTTAGATCCCTGAACCTGTAAGCTTATGTATTTTGCTAAATTTGAAAGTTTTTTTAGCCATTATTTCTTCAAACACTTTTTCAGTTTCATACTCTTTATCTTTATCGAGTACTACAACTACACAAAAGGAGCTCTGGTAGTGTAGTGGTTACGAATCGGGCTGCGAACCTTAAGGTCAGCAGTTCGAGACTACCAGCCGCTCCACGGGAGAAAGATGAGGCTTTCTATTCCCGTAAAGATTTACAGTCTCGGAAACCCTGTACAGGGTCGCTATGGGTCGGACCCGACTCGACAGCACTTAACAACAACAACAATTACACAAATGTTAAATCTTTTATTATTGTCCTGCAGGTCTCTGGAGCTCAGTTCATTTCTTTTACTTTTTCTGTGTTTCTGTACTGAGTAAACTCTACCAATCTCTCTTCAAGTGCACTGATTCTATTCTCTGTCATCTTTATTACTCAGTTCATTTCAGTGAGGTTAGCGGATTTTTAATTTTGGCTATTGTATTTTTTCAGTTCTTTTGTTTGTATTTGGTTCTTTTTAAATAACTTCTATTTCTTTGCTAAGATTTTACACTTTTTCATTTGGTTCAAGAGAATTTATGATTGCTTGTTGACACATTTTCATAACAAATGCTATAAAAGTCTCTCAATGTCGGATTCATCTTGGAAATAGAATCAGGGATGCCTGTTCTCATTCAAATTGTGATTTTTCTGGATTTTGGTATAACTAATGATTTTTTTTTTTTTTGTAACCTGGACATTTTGATCATTATGCTCGTAGACTCTTCAGATTCGTATCTCAAAAATACACAAATATCAATTCTAGATAGATTAATAATTTAAATGTAAGAAGGATATTTCTATATATGTATTTACCTATGCTGAAAATAAGGAGCTCTGGTAGCGTAGTGGTTACGAATCGGGCTGCGAACCTTAAGGTCAGCGGTTCAAAACTACCAGCTACTCCGTGGGAGAAAGATGAGGCTTTCTACTCCTGTAAAGATTTACACCCTCGGAAACCCTGTACAGGGTCGCTATGGGCCGGAACCGACTCAACGGCACTAAACAACAACATGCTGAAAATATGTCCATGAATAAAGTATACAAGAGGCAAATTTATGAATATTTCTTAACCATAATCAAATACCTGGAGAGACTCAGGACCCAAATCTCAGGGGAGATCAAGATTAATTGGCATTTTATAGGCCTCAAAGACCTGTACATGTTAATAGGTCTTCATGCCAGTCCCACACCTAAGGTCAGATGCCCCATGCCTGAGACCCCATTTGCAAATCTATTAACAAAGACAGGCTCTGTGACCTCAGACAAATTAAGCCTATTTCCTCACTTTTAAAATGGAAATTTGTTGTTGTTGTTGTTAAGTGCCATGGAATTGGTTCTGACTCGTAGTGACCCTGTATAGGGCTTCCAAGGAGTAGCTGGTGGTTTTGGACCACCCACCTTGCAGTTAGCAGTCCAGTGCTTATTCTACAGTTTCACACCGGGACTCCTAAAATGGAAGTAAGAGTGGTATTAGCTTTTTAATAAGATTGTGGGGAGAATGAATGCAATCATGCACAGAAAATGTAAGTGCCCAAAGTCCTTGCCTCCCTCCTGATAAGGCAGGTAGGAGAATTTGATTGAGACCACACATGTAAGTAGACTAGCACAGAGACTCTCCCTTCCTCATCCCTCACCCCTACACACCTCTGGTAGCGTAGTGGTTACGAATTGGGCTGCAAACCTTAATGTCAGCAGTTCGAAACTACCAGCAGCTCCGCGGGACAAAAATGAGGCTTTCTGCTCCCGTAAAGATTTACAGTCTCGGAACTCCTGTTCAGGGTCACTATGAGTCCACGGCACATAACAACAACAACACACACCACACACACAAAAACAAACTTGAAGACCTGAAGTTGCAGGGTGGTGCATCTGCTGCCCCCTTATGGTCAAAGGAAGGAATCACACTGTCCACACCCAGGAATCCGGCGACCAAACTTAGGGTGAAAACTAGCTTAGTTTCTCTCTTATCCTTACTTGCCGACATACACAAAGAGACACTAAGTAGAGGGAAGTAGCTCAGGCTTCCAAGTTTCTCAGTAAAATTCTCTGGGGGGAACCTCCTAGAGTCAGTTTCTTCCTTGTAAAATAAGGAAAATAACCTATTTCAAAGAGGCCTCGTACAAAAATGACATGACTTCCTCTGGCTTCACATGGGGGAAGGAGACTCAAACTCAAAAATCAGCCCAAGATGGAGGCCTGTGAAGCAGAAGTCCAACAGGCCTCCACCTTTCAACTTTCTTTGCTTTATTCAGATACCAGCCATTCTCACACAGAATTCTCTGCTTCTGGGCTTGATAATCCACTGCAGTGGTCACACAGAAGTCAGAGACAATATTCACAATTATGGATTTATTAAGGAAATGAACAAGATACAATTCAGAAGCAGAAACAACTCAGGATTCAGCAGTTCTCTAGTCAAGAATGCCTCTTTTTTTTTTTTTTTTTAAATTTAAGGTTTTTATTGTGAATTGAGTGAAAGTTTTACAGGGCACATCATCAGTTTCACATTCAACCATTCATATAACTTGTTTCATTACATTGATTATAATCCCCTCCATATACCATCAGTTAAAAGTATTTCTCTTTATCCACTTTAGCTTTTTTTTTTAAAAAAACACACAAACAAAAAAACCCATTCAGACATATATAATAAATTACATCTCCAAAGGGCACATTCTGCAAGTCTGCTCCTGGCCACCAGCTCTTAGTCCTTCTCTTCTTAGTTGATGAATCTAGAGTCCTCAGCCGCTCCCCCTCTCCATGCCTCCATCTCTGGCACTGCTGCTTCTCTGGATAAGGTCCTGCATTCTATTTGTGCGTTCCTCTCTTGATGGTCCTAGGGTCCTCTGTTTCTGGACTGTAAGATTAACCACTCCCCTTTTTTTATTACAAAACGTCTACCTTTACAATTGTGACAGTTGCGATTAGTCATGATAACAGTTATTCACTATTGAATCTTACGAATCTTATCCCCATCTCCTTTCACCAGACCCATCTAGACAAGATGATAACTATTCAGTGGGGACTCTTTCTTTCCCCCCACACTCTTAACTAAGCTCCCTCTTGAAACCTTGTAAGCCAGTCACTTCGTGACTTTATTGCCCCCTCATTTTAGGTAGCCAGTGTCTAAGTTGCTCGTTCCTATCTACCCTGTGTCCAGAGAGGAGAGCATCGAAACTTGATTTGAAGACTCTTTCCTTCTCTGTTGGTATTTAGAGTAACTACCGCTCTGAGTATAGGTCAGGTTCATCATGAAGATGTATCTTCTGTCACTGTAGCTGTTCCAGTCTGCTTGTCCTTTCTAGTGGGAATGTCTCACCTCACAGGGTTGTGGATGGGACTCAGGATAAGAATGCCCCTTCTCTGCCCAGGCACACCTCATTCTTGTCTGCAGCCTCTTGGCCATGTTGCTCTTCAACCTCTTCCCTGCTCAGACAAGTGCTACAAAGCACCTCTAGCCAGTCTGTAAATACTCAAAGGGCACATTCTGCAAGCCAGACTCCTACCTGTAGGCACTCAGCTTTCCTCCGTCCATGGGCCAGGAGGAATGCAGCTGTTCTGTCTTTCTAAGTAGGGATCTTATATTCCACTCATAGTTCTTCTTTCTTGATGGTCTTGGAGTCTTCTGTTCCTGCTTCTGAGATGGTTCCTTCTAAACCTAGCAGGATGACAACACTAACCAATACTGGCGTTAGAGTCCCACGCACCCTATTTGCAGGGTCCATGCAATCATTTAGTGGGAGTTAAGACTTTGGGAAAAAAAGTCATTTTCAAGTAAATTCATGGTACCACATCTAGTGAGGAGATGAGAAATGAGAGCCTGCATGTATCTGACTCCAACTGAGACATAATAGAGACTCAGTGATCTTTTTGAACATAATTTCAGGCTTTAAGTTGCATATCATCCTGCTGAGACTTGGTGCTAACTCAGGTGGTTGTTGTTGATAAGTGATATCATGTCAGTTCTAATTCATAGCGACCTTGTATGGAGTTTCCAAGGAGTGACTCGTGGGTTGGAAGCACCAACTTTGGAGTTAGCAGTTCCGTGCTTATCCTACTGTGCCACACCAGAATTCAGTGCTAACTTGTTGTTGTTAAGTGCCATCGAGGCGGTTCCAACTCTTAGTGACTCTGTATAGGGTTTCCGAGGAGTAGCTAGTGGGTTTGAACCGCTGACCTTGTGGCCCAGCACATTATTCTGCAGCACCACACCAGGACTCATAAGATCCTTCATTTTGCTATTGTAGTTGTTAAATTGTTGTGGAGTGAGTTCTGACTCATAGCAACCCTGTATAGGGTTTCTGAGGAGCAGCTGGTGGGTTTGAACCACTCACCTGGCAGTTAGCAGTCCAGTGCTTAACCTACAGTGCCACACCAGGAAGAGAATTGTCTAGGATCTCATAAGTCAGAGGCTGAAGCCAGGCTATAGCTCGGGTCTCAAGAGGAAGTAGAAGGATAGAAGGAGTATTTGAGTTCCTCCTGGAACATTGTCACGTGACAGGAGATTTCCCTCCTCTTTCCCCCTGCTCCACCCTCATGTCTTTGCTACACATGCTGCTCAATATGGAATTCCAACTGCCCAGGCACTCTTGGGCGGCCACACAACTGCCATACCGCCACGATTCTCACGGATCACAGAAGGAAGCATAAAGACTCTATAACTTTATTTGATCCTTGCAAAGGGGTCAGGGAGTGTGTTCGGTTCTGCAGGATGGTCAGTCCCTGAAGGCAAGCAGGAGGCCTAAGAGGAGGCCACAAGCAGGACCTGGTCTGGAGGACTCCGCACTCACAATCTGAGCTCTCTCTAAGACATTCCGAACCTCAGTCACTCGGATACTCCCCACAGTCCGGAAATCTACTAAAAGCCTTTGGTGATAGTGGGTACAGCCCATAAGGAGGATGGTACTATTCAGAAGGCCTGTAAGGAAGAGACAGAGCAGTCAGGGATGCTGTCAAGATTCAAACTGTCTTGCCTCTCTTTCCAAACAAACAAACCCCAACCCACTGCCCTCGAGTTGATTCCAATCCATAGAGACCCTGGATAGTGTTTCTGAAGCTGTAAGTCTTTACAGGAGAAGACAGCCTTATTTTGCTCCTGTGGAGTGGTTGGTGGGTTTGAACTCCCGACCTCACAGTTAGCAGTCCAGTTCATATCCTACAGTGCTGCCAAGCTCCATCTTTCCAACTGCCCCTCAAAAATCAGAAACTGGTCTCCCACCCAAGACTTGGGCATCCAGCACCTTACTGTCTCTTCCCTAGGAAATTCATATGCCTGTGCCCTTGCACCTCCAGATCCCACGGGCCTATCTCAGAGAGATAGTAAAAGTACTAGCTAACGCCTCAAATCGAGTAGGTATTTGATAAAGTTTCATTTTCTCACCTGCCTGAAATTTTAAGGTGGAACTGTAACAAACAGTGGCATCCTGCGGGCAAGATTCAACGCTTATAAAATTTGGGAGGCAATCCTCAGTGTGCATGCCCACACAGGTTGGGCAATTATTGGAAGAAAATTCTTTAGATGTAACAGTGTTGGCCTTGAGTTTCACAATTGGATTCAAGTTGGTCAGGTTATTGCAGAGATAGCTCCGGCAGACTCGGCTATAGGAGGCGACAGACACTCCAGGAGGTGAAACGAGGTAAGACATTTGTGGGGGGTAAGATAAGGCTGAGGTGCAGCCTTTAAAACCCACAACTCCTCTTTTGGTCCCTGAAGAGCAGAGGGTGAGAGAGCTCTGGTCAGTGTCTTTGACGTCAATCAAGCTTTCCCTTTGAGACCCCTGCCCCTCTGCCATCTTTGCCTTGTCCCCACTGTCTCCTCACTGCAGCTACACGGGGTTCAAGTGCTGGGATACCATCAGCATTTCCTTACTCTTTTTCCCGTCAGCCCTGCCCTTTTCTTCTCTCCCAGATTTGGATCTGCCACGGCCATTCTGCCTTCTTATCCAACCCTCACCTCAACCCTGGGAGACTCCTGCCATCGTGCTGACATTATCCCCAAAGACATAATGGTTTAAATAAGGGAAGCTTGAGTCCAGAGCCCCTGAGTGCTGGGGTCAAAACAACAAGCAAGAAGACAGGTCTCAAACCCACTGCCCTGTCACCTGTCTCAATGAATAGTAGTGTCTCCTCGCAGCCTTCCCTCAGCTGGCACACCATGCTTCTCAACAGTTGCCATTTCCAGTTATGTAGGGTAACGGCTCTGAAGAGTGAGGCGGTGGCTTCGTAGCACAAAAGAGCCCCAGCTCCTAATAAAAGAACATTCTTTCTGTCATCTGCCTCTCCTGTTGCCTCCTCAGTTCCAGGACTGGCAACCAAGAGCTCAGTCAACATCGGCCCTGTGTCTTGAGAGGTTCAGGTAACCAGCCCTCCTTCCCCAGTGACATTAATCCAGCCCTCCAGCCTCTGGGGGCCCAAAGCATCCAACCCCGCGTGACATACGAGGCAAAATGAAGATGGCCCCTAGGAGGCAGAGCAGCTTCACAAGGCTCAGATACTGGGGTGCCATGGTCTTGTGTCTAGTTTCTGGATGCTAGAGGTTAATCTGGAACCAATTTCAGTCCAGGGCCCAAGCTGGGTTCTCTTCAATCAACCCGTCTCTGATTCGCCGCTTCTGGAGAGGAAGTTGGTTGTGTCAGTTTCTGTAACACAGGCTTCCTGAGACCTGGGATGCTGTTCTTCCCATCTCCATAGTCTCGCCTCCGATCTAAGCCACACCCACCACCTAAACTTCACAAAGTGTGGCTCTCACTGCCCTCTAGCTCCTCCCACTGGAATATGGTACATGCGGAGGACTTTGGCTTATCCAAAGGATCACTATACACACGCTGTTCTCTCACCAGAGACAAGATGAGAATAGTAAAGGATGCCTAAAATCCTTACGTGTGTGGAAGTTAACTGGCATATTACTGAATAGCCCTTGGTATAAAAAGGAAATTTAAAATAATTTAAAACGGAATAATGACACTACATGTCATGCACACACAAACAAATGTGTGAATCCAAATGATGATGAAAGCTACATAAGGTTTATAGTCTATTTAAGAGACTGCTACCAATGCCAAATCTCTGCTCATACAAGAGGCTTCAAGTTGTTCATGGAAAAATTCCATACATACAGGGTATCTAAGAGTCAAAACGGACTCAACAGCATTTAATGACAAACGATGGTGTATACGATAAAGATCCCTGGTAGTGCAGTGGGCTACGAGTTGGACTGCAAACTGCATGGTCAGCAGTTCGAATCTATCCTGGGAGAATGAGGCTTTCTGTTCCCAAAACCCTAGTAAGCAGGGTGGGGAACCTTTTTTCTGCCAAAATTTATAACATCATTTACAGGCCATACAATATGATCAAATTAAAAATTAGCCTGCCATATTTGTCAAACATTTAGTTAATTCACCCCTAATGTGATGGCCTTGGAAACCCTGTGCTGGGTAGCTATGAGTAGGAACCGATTGCACAGCACATAAGCACCACCACCACCAACCACCATGTGATGGTTGAAACTGTGGCTGCACTGGCAGGGCCAGACGAAATGATTTTGAGAGCCAGATGTTCCCCACCCCTGCTACAAAGAGTCCCTGTGTGTCAAACTCCCAGTGCAGCACTGTAGGATCAGCACTGGATGGGGAACCACAAATCCAGCAATTCAAACCCACCAGCTGCTCCTCAGAAACCTTGTTCAGGGTCACTATGAGTTGGAACCAACTCCAAGGCACTTAACAACAACAACAATGAATTGGAATCGACTCCACAGAACAAAACCACCACCACCTCATACATTTGTTGTTAAGTGCCCTATGCTACGGTTATATAACTCCATGAGGAAGCTGGAGGAAGGGTTCAAGGAATTCTATGTACTATTTTTGCAACTTTGTGTGAGCTAATAATAATTTCAAGATGAAAAAGTTTTTTTTTAACTGACTTTCAAATTTTGGGGCACAACTAAAGGAAAACTTAGAAGCAAATTTATCAGGAAACAAGAAGTATTAAAAATAAACATGCTCATAAATTGCCTCAAGGAGCTGTAAGAACACAGCAACCTTCCCTCTTACCCTTCCTACCATCCCCCAGAAGAATGGGATAAAGATCATGGCAGAAATACATGTAATGAGAAAAAAAAAAAAGATAATTTACAAAACCTAACATGCATTCTTTAAATAGATTGCTAAGCGTTCTCTGGCAAACTGATCAAGAAAATAAAAGAACAAATGAATATTGAATAGAGTGACACCAGATTCTTACATAATAGAAGTATCATTAACAACTCTACATTTATCATTTTTTTCTTTCAAACTCTTATATATTTGTGTGTGTGTGTATATCACACTCCTCCTGTGTCTTCACCTGTCTTCATTATTCCTCTGCTACCCTCCCTCTTCTTGTATATTGCCCTCCCAGTCACCTGATCCAACATGTCTCCCCTCCCTCCCACTCCCAGTAACCATCAAAGAATGGTTCTTTTAGTATGTAAAACTTTTCTTAAGCTCATACAATATTGGTCCTTTTGTGACTAATTTCACTCAGCATGTCTAACATCATTTCTATTACCAAGGCCGTAGAATCACATGACAAAATTTTGCAAGACCAATGGCTTCTTCATTACAACTACCTTTTTTAAACAACATAAAAGATGATTATACACATGGACCTCACTGGATGGAACCCACAAATATCAAATTGACTACATCTGTGGAAGTCGATGGTGGAAAAGCTCCATATCATCAGCCAAAACAAGACCACAGGCAGACTGTGGAACAGAAAATCAATTGCTCATGTACAAGTTCAGGCTGAAGTTGAAGAAAATTAAAACAAGACCACAGGAGTCAAAATATGGCCTTGAACATATCCTACCTGAATTTAGAGATCATCTCAAGAACAGGTTTGATTAATTAGACACTGGTCTTGATGTGGTGCTGTGGGTTAATACGCCAGACTGTAAAACTGTTTGAACTGCAAGGTTGGTGGTTCAAGCTCACCATCTGCTCCTTGGAAACACTATACAGGGTTGCTATGGATTGGAGTCAACTCGACGGCACTTAACAACAACAACAACAACAACAATAACAGTCACCAAAGTCCACTTATGGGATGACATCAAAAGGTCATTAAGAAGCCAAGAAAGAAGGAAAAGAACAAAATGAATGTCAGAAGAGACTCTGAAACTTGTCCTCCAGCATAGAGATGCTAAAACAAATGGAAGAAATGCGGAGGTAAAAGAGCTGAATAAAAAATTTCAATGGGAATCTCAAGATGACAAAGTAAAATATTGTAACAAAATGTGATGTGCAAACACCAGGAGTTATAAAACCAAAGTCAGTTGAAGACTTTGCATATATTCTTATTTGCATATACTCTTCTTATTTCAATTTGACATTTCATATTTTTTTAGAAATTTATCCACTTCATTCAGGTTTTCAAATTTATAAATGGGCATTAATGTTCATTAAAGCACTAGTAAAAATAGCAAAAATATGGAGACAACCTAAGTGTCCATCAATGGAAGAATGGGTAAGCAGACTTTGGTACATACACACAATGGAATAGTATGCAGACTTGAAGACTAAAGATGAATCTATGGAACACCTCATAATATAGAGAAACCTGGAGGATTATGTTGAGTGAAACTGTTATTAGGTGCTGTCAAGTCGGTACTGACTCATAGTGACCTTATGCACAACAGAATGAAACACGTCCCGGTCCTGCACCAACCTCTCAATCATAGTTACGCTTGAGCCCATTGCTGCTGCCACTGTGCCAGTCCATCTCTTTGGAGTCTTCCTCTTTTTCGCTGACCCTCTACTTTACCAAGAATGTTGTCCTTCTCCAGGGACTGGTCCCTCCTGATAATATGTTCGAAGTATGAGAGACGAAGTCTGGCAATCCTGGTTTCTAAAGATCATTCTGGCTGTACTTCCTCCAATACAGATTTGTTTGTTCTTCTGACAGTCCATGGTACTTTTAGTTTCTCCTCCAACATCATAACTCAAATGCATAAAATCATCTGCAGTCTTCTTTATTCATTTTCTAACTTTCTCATGCATATAAGGTTATTGAAAATACCATGGCTTGGGTCAGGCACCTCTTAGTCCTCAAACTGACATCTTTGCTCTACACTTTAAAGAGGTCTTGTGCAGCAGAATTGCCTAATGCAATACACCATTTGATTTCTTGACTGCTGCTTCCAAGAGTATTGATGGCTGATCCAATAAAAATTAGGTCTTTGACAGCTTCCATCTTTTTCCCATTTATCTTGATGTTATTTTTCTGTCCAGTGGTGAGGATTTTTGTTTTCTTTACATTGAGGTGCAACCCATACCAGAGGCCATGGTTGATTTTCATCAGTATTTGAATTCCTCTTCTCTTTCAGCATACAAAGGTGTATCATCTGTATATCGCAGGTTGCTAATGAGTCTTCCTCTAATCCTGATGTTATGTTCTTCTTCATATAATCCAGCTTCTCGAATTATTTGCTGAGCATACAGATTGAATAAGTATGGCGAAAGAATACAACCCTGGCACACACCTTTCCTGATTTTAAACCATCCAGTGTCCCCTTGTTCTATTCAAACAACTGCCTCTTGGTCAATGTGCAGGCTCCTTATAAGCATAATTAAGTGTTCTGAAGTACTCATTCTCCGCAATGTTGTCTATAGCTTGCTTGTTGTGATCCACACAATTTAAATACTTTGTGTAGTCAATACAGCACATGTAAATATCTTTCTGATATTCTCTGCTTTCAGCCAAGATCCATCTGACATAAGCAATTCCTCGTCCTTGTCTGAATCCTGCCTGAACCTCTGGCAGCTCCCTGTCAATGTACTGCTGGAGTCAGTTTTGGATTATCTTTGACAAAAACTTACTTGCATGCGATATTAATAACATTGTCCAATGACTTCCGCTTGAGGACTAGGGTGCGCCTGACCCAGGCCATTGTGTTTTCAATAGCCTCATATGGATACGAAGGCTGGACAGTGAATAAGGAGGATCGTAGAAGAATTGATGCCTTTGAGTTGTGGTGTTGGAGAAGAATACTGAAAGTGCCACGGACTGCCAAAAGAACCAATACATCTGTTTTGGAAGAAGTGCAGCCAGAGTGCTCCTTGGAGGCCAGGATGGCTAAGCTTCGTCTCTCCTACTTTGGACATATTGTCCGGAGGAAACAATCGTTGGAGAAGGATGTCATGCTGGGTAAGGTGGAGGGTCAGAGAAAAAGAGGAAGACTCCCAACGAGATGGACCAACTGGGTGGCATCATTGATGGACTCAAGTGTGGCAGCGGTTGTGAGGTTGGCCCAGGATCGGACATTGTTTCGTTCTGCTGTGCATGGGGTCGCTATGAGTCGGTTCCAACTCGATGGCACCTGACAACAACAACAACAATGACTTCCGCAATCCATTGGGTCACCTCTCTTTAGAATGGGCACAAATATGGATCTTACAATCAGTTGGTCAGGTAACTGTTTCTCAATTTCTTGTCATAGATGAGTGAGTGACTCCAGTGCTG